CCAACCAACCAACCAACCAACCAACCAACCAACCAACCAACCAACCAACCAAGCAAACAAAGGTGGCTAGCCTTTGAAGAAGGCACCAACTTTGACCTCTGGATTCTGTGTGCATGCACACACTTGCACCCATACCAGCACATACGCCGAGACCCCTGTATGCATATGCACACAAACAAACGCAAAAACAAGCCACCAGAAATTTCAGTTCGTGTGTTTTCTCTTACCATACAATTTTTGGAAGTAAAACAGGAAAAAATAGTCTCCTGCCACATTATTACTTGTATTTTTAGATCACTTCCATTGCCTTTTCCAACACCTGAGTAAAAGTGAAAAATACATACTTGTTAAAAGTTACAGTGCCTAGTCTATTGACACTTGAGAATAATGACCTCACGGTACAACGTGCTCATATTTAATCATTTGACTTTGTATAGATTTTGTTTTTGAAAAGCAAGGCTCTGAAAGCTCATTTTTTTCTTTTAAAGCAGAATTTATGAGTCTAGAGAGAAACATGTGATTTGGTTTTTAATAGTTAGAATTCCCTTGTTTTGTCTCTAGTGGGAAAAAAAAAACAGGGAAGGTGGCTTGCAAACTGTCTTGGACTTTCAGTCATGGTATTTAAAATCAATTCCCTAAATTTCTCTTGCTCTGCCATAAGACTAGTTCTTAAAGCAATGTCTAGGAAAATACAGGGTGGCTGTATTCAGGCTTTCTTTAGTACTCAGTATAAGTTTTACACAAATAGTCTTATGCCTCTATTCCTAGTTCTAATGGCCTTTACTTCCTTCATCAATTCCTTAGATAGCTGGTTTTGGAAGCTTCCAATTAACTTCTTCCACATTTTACCCTAACAAATATTCTAATATAGTCAGAATTGTTTTGATGGTCCATCTAACATTGTTTTCTTTACATTTAATGTTTCATTAACACCATCTTACTAAATTGTCATGAATTATGGTTTTCTTGACTCTGCTTCGTTACTAAACATCTACTGATGTCTACTAGAGATCACTAAGATGTCAGACTGTAGTGTACGTGTGTGGAAATGTTTTATGTAACACACGGAAAACATATAGAACCATATGCAGTCAAACACTTATCATATGACAAGAAAAGTGTATTTATCTAAGCCCTTAAGTTCTCACATACTTAAAAATTTCAAACTGCATAAATGGATCTTAATGATTTAATGATTAAAAAAAAAGTAAAACAAACAAAAATCCTGCTGGGTGTGGTGGTGTACGCCTATAATTTCTGGCCCTTAGGAAGCCTTTCTTCACTTCCAACCCTGTGTGTTCCAGAACCCTGGCTGCCTTGTTATCCATGCTCTAGTTCCCTCCTCTGCCAACCACCCAGGAACTTCCTTTTAAAAGTATTTGTTTCAGCTCTTCGAGGATCCCATATAACTTATTGTGATCGTATTCATCCCCTACTACCAATTCTCCCAGCTCCACCCCTTCCATACCCTACTTTATATCTCCCTTTATTATTTAAACCCATCAACGCTAGTTTGTACTTCCCAAATATGGTTGGGCGTGTGACCTAATGCGTGGCTACTGTGATCTAATGTGTGGCTGAGTTACCAGAGGCAACACTCTCCGAGAAAACTGACTGTTCTTCTCCCAGCAGCTATCAGTTGCCCAAAGCTCCTCAGCTAGAAATAGGATTTCATGCCCAACTCCTGTCTTCGTGCTTGCATTTGGTCTGTATATATGTGTGTGTGTGTAATATCCCATTATACATGTAATGGAATATATATATATATATATATATAACATTCTATTATACATAATATATATTCCATTATATATATGCATATATGTCCCATTGTTTTGTAGGTGGCAAATAGCGCAGAGACCCACAACTACAGAGAATAAGAGACTGTAGAATCTACCCAAGAACTTCTAAAGAGAAGGAGACACTGGTATAAACCTGGCTGAACAGAGGTCTTAGCAGTTGTATGAAAATAAATAGAAACATTTGCTGACTGGGTATTTAAGGCATCATAATGGAGATGCCAGTGAAAGTTGTGGTTGGCCAAGGGGTAAATAAGGAGATCAGGTGATAAGAAAGAGTCTCCAAAAGGGAGGGTGAGAAAGTTATAGGGGGATACCTCTGCTAGATGAACCCTGATGAGGTGAGTATGAGAAAGAAGCAATCACAGGCACTTTCCCTGCCCTTCCACTGAGGTCAGGGAAGAAACGGGAAGGGAAAAAGGATGCCTTCGCCAACCCCATACCAAATGATGAAGGAAAGAGCCATTTAGCAGCCCTCACATGGCCAGATGTAGGAATTCATGTGTGAGACATTACAGACAGCTACTCCCCCAAACATGAAAAGACTACCTTCTGCACAGCCTTTCCATTCTAAATAAGGCACTTACCATGAATAGAGTAAACAATGAATCTTTTTATTATGAGTAATTTTTTTGGAGGGAGAGTCCATTGGTAGCGAAATTTCAGTTTTTCAAAATATTTAACATACCTATTCTGCAAAGCAACAGAAACCTTGATTAAAGTTGGGATGGAAAGTCTAAAGTCAACATTACTGGTCCCATCTCCTTTCTTGCTGCCCCCCCCCCCCCTTACAAAGTGTTTGTTAGGTTCAGTTAAGGTAAGGAAACAACTGTAAAATGCTATCACATAGCTGGGCACATTTCATATATGTTGCCTCATGCCTGAATATCTACCAAGAAAAAAAAATCTGTGTTTGGTGCTGTGGTCAATGAATTAACATGAAAGGAGTCAATCTTTCTATATGGTTTGCCCATGATGTTGTTTTTGTGCATATGATAGATATATGTGTGTATATATTTATGTAAATATATATGTGTGCACATACTTGTAGAAATATATACATTCACACATATATATCATAGTATATATGCATGTGGGTGTTCATGCAGAGGTCAGGTTGGTGCTGATTATCTTTCATCATCATCATCATCGAGATTAAGTTTCCAGTGTGAGGCCCTGGCGGGCCTGGAATTTACTAGGTAAACCAAACTGGCTTAGAACTAGACTGGCTGAGCAATGAGTTCTGTGGATTTATCAGCCCCTGCCTCTCTCCCTGCCCAAGTGCTGAAGTCTCAGACTTGGAGCGCTAGGCCTTCACACACGTGCTGGAGATCTGAGTTTAGATCTTCCTGCAGGCGCCTTACCAAATGGACCATCTCCTAAGTCCCTGCTTGTGCTCAGAAAAACAAAACATCAAGACAGCCCCAGCATTCCAATACAGTGGTTGAAACTTAGTTATGATGACTACTACATTAGGGGGAAAAAAATGTGGTTTGGTAGAGGGTAGCCCCTAGTCATAGCCGAATAGTATATAGGATGACTCTAGAAAAGACATCTGTAAGTCAGTAGATCACATGTCTGTCCAGGCTAGAGCGTCTTCCCTCTCCATTTCTGTTTGTTCTTGGGAGGAATCTCGAGGATCTCCAAGCCTTATATCATCCCTATGGGATGGTGCTCACAGGACCTTCCTTGAATGTTCCTTCAAGAAGTTGAAGCATTCTGGTGTTGAACCATCTGGGAAGTTGGAATAAAATTAGTAGCCATGCTTCCTATTGGAAACGGAGTTTGGGGGCCAGCGAGATGCCTCAGTCTGCCTCAGTTGTACATGCATGAGGAACTGACTTTAAATCTCAAAAGCCCATGTTAAAAAATCCATGCATGGCTGTGATTTCTGTATCTCCAGCATTGTAGTGTAGAGCCAAGTGGGACCCGGGAGCTGGCTTGCCAGCTAACCTAAGCTGAGCAACACACTTCGGCTCCACCGAGAGGCCCCATCTCAAGATGATGAGGAGGAGAGCAATAGAAGAAGATGCCTGGCTCCTCCTTCTGACCTTCATGCACACACGCTGCACCTGCACATTCACATGCATGTACAACACACACACACACACACACACACACACACACACACACACACACACGTGGAAGTCATGGGTCTTACTGAGTGTGTCATGTTTTCTCTTTGTACAAAACCTAAATTTTTAATTATGATTTTATGTACATGTGTGTATTTATATATTTGTATGTGTATTATATAGCTCATGAAACTGGAAAGGTCATCAAGGGAGGAAAGGAAGAGATCTTAAAAGAATGGAAACAGAGAGAATAATGGAACACATATAGAAAGAATAGGGGAGGAGGAGGTACTAGCTGAGGGAATAAAGGAAATGAGCCAGAGGGTGGTGAATCATGGGTGAGGTCAGTGAGCACAGGGGTGAGGGTGAATGAGAACACAATATGACACCTGTATGAAGACATCATGATGAAATTGGTTACTTTGTATGCTAACCTAAAACATTAACTATAAAAAAGTTACAGTGGTATGACCTTGCCAACACCTCTCAAGCCTGTAGCTGGGTCCTTGCATCAATAGCCTTGATAAGCAGTAGCAAGGAGGTTTTGTTTTGAGGCAGGGTCTCTCTGGGTAGCCCTGACTATCCTGGAACTCTTTTGAATGTCTTATATTTTTTATTGTTAGTTACTTGTAAACGTCGCATTTATTTTGTTTGCCTAAAGAAGTCTTAGCAAGAAGAATCTCTGTAAGAAATCCTTGGTTAACTCTATCAAAACTTCATTCTGCATCTATTGTTTTGTTTTGTATTTGTTGTTGTTGTTTGATAATAACATGAACTGCAGCGATTGATTTTAAATTATTCAACCAGCATTCCCGTGATAAGCCTCCCCTGATCTAGGGAAGAAACTGCCATGCATATTAATAGACAATTTTTCATTGGAGATGGCTTCTTCTACAAGAAGAAGAAGCTTGGCTTCAGGTACGGACCTTTCTATTATTTATATTTTTTATGATTTCATTTTATTTTTAATTATGTGTGTGTGTGTGTGTGTGTGTGTGTGTGTGTGTGTGTGTGTGTGTAGTATATGCATGTGAGTGAAGGTCTCAGTAAACCAGAAGGAGGTACTGGATTTCTTAGAGCTTGAATCACAGGTTGTTTTAAGCTGCCTAATGGGTACTAGGAACTAAACTCAGGTTCTCCACAAGAGGAGACTGTGCTGTTACCTGTTGAGCTATATCTCCAGCTTTTCTGTAATTTACTATCAATGCCAAAGCATTTGTTGTCATAGACACTGTGTCATCTCTGTAAGTTACATGTTAGGTATTTGTTCTGCAATGCTATTTAGCTGTTCGACACATAGAATGTAGTGCCTTTTCATTTTAAGTAAATATTCCTTGAGATCATTTTAAATTATTTTATAAGTCAATTTGTCTTATTCTGCATGGGTTTCTCAACCATAATTTCGGAACTCTTTGTAGACCGGACTGACCCCCTTGAACTCACAGAGACCCGCCCACCTCTGCCTTCGGAGCACTGGGGTTACAGGCATGCACCCCCTAGTCGGGCGGGTATCAAGGTATTTTTAAGGGTCCTTATGTCAGATGCCATCGTGAAGTACTTGTGCAATAAAACGAGCTGTTGGCTGCACTCTCCTTCAAAATAATTCAGGTTTAAGGGAAAGCGAGTGTAGAGAGTGCCATCAGGGGTTTGAGAAAGAGCAGGTAGAGCATGAAGGAGCACAGCTGATGGGGGACTGAGGTGCCATTGAAGGAGCCTCATGACTATACAGCTGTTTGCTCTGTTTTTGTGTGTGTTACGGTTTGGGGTAGCTTCCTCCCCTCCTGCCTCCCTCAGGCCCATCGAGGCAGGAGCAAATGACCATGACCTGGAACTGAGCCAGACGGAGCTTGCCCACCTCTAAGGGCCTCCTCATACACTAGCCACGTCACCGACGATTCTCACTAGCACACTGTGTTTGGAAAGTTACGAGATGATAAACTCTGTTTGAGAGAGGAAAAGGCAATAGTGTACATTTCACAATAGTCAGCATGTAGAATTAAGTGTGATGTATAGATACACACATATATATGAAATACAATCTCATATGTAATAATTTTTTTTCTGAGACGAGGTCTTGCCTAGGCTAGCCTCAAAACTCATATCCTCTTGCTCAACTCTGATTATAGGAATGAGCTGTCATGCCTGGCTCAATATTTTTTTCCAAAATAATATCTGTAGAGGAATTTCCTCCAGCAACAGGTGGCTCTGATCACATCCAAGAACCTTCTAGTCCTGTGTGATCTGGCTGGAATGCAGGCATGCTCTTAGCATACACCTTTACACCCAAGCCAAGAAGGTAAAGTTAGTTTGTAGAAGGAAGCACCTATGTTTTGGAAGTGACACCTAGTTAAGGGGCAGACAAAGTGACAAATCAGAGGAAGATTTGACAGACTAGGATATGCCCAACTCTCGGTGGAACAGAGAGGGAAGAGAGGTGACTTAAAAAGAAGCAGCACAAAGCAAGAAAGAAAAACGGAAGAAACCGTTTTACCCAGACAGTTGTACAGAGACAGGTTGAGAAGAAAGAACAGGCTGGACACAGGTGAAGACAGACAGAGCCAGAGAATGAGGAGCTGCAAGATTAGATAGAATATTGCCAAAGTTAGTATGAGGCCAAGCAGAGCAATTCAGTCAGAGGCCAAGAGAAGCCAGTTTGAGTCAGTCAGCTTGGAGAGGACTTTTGAACCAGCCAGCCAGAGTTCAGAAAGAACTAGAAAGGGTGAGCTTATTCAAGAGTA